GTGTGGATGGTCTTTGGAGCCCCCCCTGTTACGGTGTGGATGGTCTTTGGGAGGTTCTGATACCTGAAACGATCTTCAAGAACATTACTCACCTTCAGTATGAGCTGTTTGATGAAGAGCAAGAGAAAAGCCCTCAAGGACAGCATCTCCTTCCTGCTGGGACGAGGACCATCTGAACACAAGGTGGTGTAGTGATTAGCCCACGCAGTGTCTCCAGGTCAGTGCCAGCTGACAACTGACACACTGCATACTCACTCTTACACACTGTACCTCTCACAGGCACTGGAAGACACATGACAGCCAGCTCCTGAAACGTTTCACCCGCTTATTGAAAGCACTTAAACAGTCTGATATTCCCCTTTGACTGGACAGCGTCAAAAGCTTAATGGCTAATGGACACAGATGCTGTTGGTGACCTGGTCTGACGGTTAACGGTGTGGGGGGGAGCTCACCGAGGCCTCTGGGCATGACCCCACTCCGGTCCTCCGGGTTAACCACCCAGTAGAAGTACTTGATTGTGTGCATAACCTGCAGTACAGTCTCCACCCTGCGGGTGGTGCTGTATACGGTCTCAGTGCTGATGAACTCGGTGGACAGGTAGGCGTAGAGGTTTCTCTGCACCTGTGCATGTCCGGGGGAGTGGGAGGGCGTGCCGGGCACGGGACACATCGCGAAAATCAATATTTTGTCAACTAAACCGGCATTGGCATAAACCTCATATCTTAGTAGCATAGAGGTGAAACAAAATAAGCCCGGTGACTAACTACAGAGGGCACTGCCACGCCAAAATGACTGATAATCAAAAGGCTAAAACTGTGCATTTGCAGCATGTCTGAGATAACACACGACTCTACATATATGCATATATTCCATTTCAGGCTGCTTTTGTCACGCATGTTATGGCTGAGCTGTGGGGCGCGTGCTCGCCCCCCTGTGGCAGACCTTGGCAGGTGCATGGATCCAGATGGCGGGACAGAACAGGATGTGGTCGCACAGCTGCCTAAACAGGAGCTGGCCGCCTTGCCGGCTGCTCAGGTAGCGGGAGAAGGCCAGGAACAGGTCCAGCACGGCCAAGGTCACATGCTCCTTGGAGGACTTGGGAGAAGATCAGAGAGGCAGGAAGTTACACGCTGAAGGGGGTGGCACCCAGGTCTGCGATGCCAGCGCCTCGTTGCTGCCCCCTTCAGGCACCAGCCAGCACGCAGCCGACGAAGCCCCTCGAGCGTGCTGGCTCATGTCGGCAGTCTGAAGGGCCACGTCCCTCCTGACGAGAGTCCCGCTCGCTTTCATTACAGACAGTCTTGAAGGGCGGGGACAGGTGCGTTAATGAGGGGGCACGCCCTATCAGGACCTCAGAGCAGTGTTTCCCATCCCAGTCCTCGGGGAGCCCCGGACAGTCCACGTTTTTGCTTCCTCTCGGCTCCAGCGCCACCTGTACCAGGTATTCGGTGTTCCTGATTGGCTGGGAGCTGGGAGGGAGCGAAAACATGGACTGTCCGGGGTTCCCCGAGGACCGGGATGGGAAACACTGCCCCAGAGCACTCACTCCTGCCAACCTTACAACCCTGACACTAATAACATTCACATTTACATGTTTAGTACATGCGCATGTATCAGAGTGCAGACAGTCCCTGCAGCATATGCACCATAACCACAGCAGATCAATCAAGTACCACAGCCTCAGAAACAAGTAAACCACTGAAGCACCGGATAGCCACTGCACTTCCAAAGCTCTCCAACTGGCCCAGGGTCATTCCTGAAGCGCACGCCCCACCCCCGACTCCGCCGCTCACCTTCTCCAGAGCGTAGCCGATCACCAGGAAGCCCCTGGAGGTCAGCATCTGCTCCTGCATGGCCACAGAGCTCCTCAGCAGCTCCATGAGGAAGGCCAGCAGGTCGCAGCTGCGATGGGGGAGCCAGGAGACCAGTCAGGGGGTGACCTTTGACCTTTCAGACACACGCTCAGAAGAGCCAGGTATGCAGCATTTGGAGAAAGCAGAACTGGGCGAACAAGCCAGTTTTAATACCCATCTTGCGTGGTGCCGTGGACTTAAAGCTTCTACATTGCGAGTACAGATTTATTTCCTCAGTGTTAGCAAAAAGGAACACTCAATGAAACGTCAGCCCCCACCAGACAGAGGTGTCCGTCATATCGCTGGGGTCCTGCAGGCGGTCCAGCTGCATGAAGAGAGGGAAGAGGGTCTCCAGGCCCCCCAGGGAGTGGATGGCACTCTGCACAGGGTGACTCGCCATCGCTCTGGCGTTCTGCAGGAACATCACAGAGCCCGTTACAGTGAAGCAGTGCATTCAGCTGAAGCAGCAGTGTATACAGCTCTCACACCACGCGTTTGTGTGGCCCCCCAGGATCTAGCTACCATCTCCTTACTCGGCTCGCTAGTTATTTATTTGGAGCCCAAAGTGACTTTTGCAGTGGGGTCCCAAAAACAATAATGCCCCCCCCCCGCCCCGCTGCTGGTTAATGTTTGCCCATGAGCAGCAGTTAGATCAAGACGAGTGGGAATCGGCCGAGTTATCAATGCAGAATGAGACGTGGCGACTTCAGCTTGGCGTGCAGAGAGGGACCGACGTGCGGGGGAGACTGACCTGCAGCATGTGGGCGTGAGGGCCATGGAGGAAGAGAGAGGGCCGGTCCCGGCCGGAGCACTCCAGGCAGAGCTGCCCATCAGTGGCCCGTGGGTTGTAGGAGAAAGTGATGCAGCCGTACAGCCGGCCGTCGTACAACAGCGCCCTCTGCTGCTCGCTGATGACCAAGTCGCTCTCGCACTTGTACTTAAACGTCCCCTGCGATAACAAGGCAGATGTGCGCCGGGACAACAGCACAAATGAATCTGGGCCAATTTATCACCTCTGATGTGAAACATGCAGCAGGGGGGCACAATAGTCGCCCCCCCCCCGCCCCCCCATGTCACCTACCTTGTATGAGGGCCCCAGCTGGTAAATGGCGAGGATCTGCGGCGCATTAAGAGCTTCGCTGAACAGATACACTGCCCCCATCTGGCCGCAGAACACCTGGTCAGTGTCCAGCGTCCCCTCGGAGCCCAGGAAACACTTATCGAAGGTCTGTGGGGGGGGGAGGGATTGAGTCAAAACCACACAGCCATCCCGGGGGGGGGGGCTAGCAACACAGCCAGGGTTTGGGGGCTTTTCTGCAGCAATCAGAAAGAGAACCTCAAGAGGAACTCCAGGCTAATGTAAAACTGCTACGGGCACAGGACACAAAAAGCACATTAAGAATGAAATTGATCTTTGACGTCATGCTTCGCCGCCTGAATCCGTGGGGAATCGCGCCAAACGTGAGCTTGGGCAGGATTGGCAAACAAAGCCTCCAAACCGGGAGCAATCGACTGAGTGAGACATACAACAAAAATGAGACCCACAGTACACAAGGATGAGAAGACACCCCCCCACCCCCCCAGTGTTTAAAATGGACTCCTCCAGGTCTCTGAGCCATGCTGGCCCGGAGCACTTGGGAACGCACTCACATCGCTGGTGTTGAGCGGCCAGGCCATCTCCCCGCAGGACGTCATCTCCCCGTCCACGTAGCAGCGGATCTCGCTGTTCCTCCAGCAGTTGTAGATGTGCACGATCGTGAGCATGTACCACTGAAACACAGGTATGATGTCACACGGGACATGAGCAACAGTAGAATGGGCCCAAGACTGAGCTATGAGGTAAAGCCACGGAGTGTATCTGCATGGAGAGAATGAGGTCTGGAAGCACAGACACACTGCTCTCATCTCAAACATCACTGCTGAGCTCATGGTGTGCGGTGCCGCAGCCACGTGCGATGCCTCAAAATCATACGCTTCCCGTCATCACACTGGAACTTTCCCCGTGCCAATCTCTTCCCAGTCGTGAGCCCTCAGATGAGTCGCTCACCTTCTGCGTTTTGAAGTCGTACTTCATGCAGTGCTGGGAGCTCTGCCCCTTGGCATTGAGCGAGCTGACGATCAGGCCACGCCCCTCAAAGTGGGCGGAGTACCCCTGCCCCTCGCTGGTGCGGAAGCTGAAAAGAGAAGCATTTTCCAGGAGGTCACTGACACCCAAGCGTCACTGAACTGCCTGCACCTTTTAAAACGACAGAAAATATCCGTCTGCAAAGTGTTTCCATGCTTGTGCATCAGAAATTATTTATCATCTGGACATGAGACAGCCAGGCACAGCCTACCATGCCAAAGGAAAAGCAACGGCGCAGAATAATCATAATGAACGTGTATGAAAAGAGGACACTAATGGCGTTTAATCGGAGGGATTGTTCACAAAGGGGACGTACCAGTAGAGGTAAAGCTTGTCCTGATGGGCGCTGATGCTGGACGCTGGATGCAGGGACAGCCAGGTGTGGAAGGTGAAGCCAGTCTGGTAAGGCCACTTGGCGATGGGGGGCAGAGCTATGGCCTGGGGGGGGGGAGGGTCGCCAATCAGAGCCACCAGGGGCGGAGTAACGCATAGGCTATCCGAGGCTAACACACAGGCTCCGCCCACCTCAGGGAATGTGGAACGGCCAGTTTAATGGGCGACACCTGAGTGTCCACGCTGATGTCAGCTCAGGGCCCCCAAAACCAGCACCAGGTTCCCACTTTACTGAGGTGGCCAAACAGCAGATTACTCTGTATAAGGCAGAGCTAGAGACTCTCCATTTGATTAATCCTGCAGATTTAGCAAAAACTTTTTTACCAACAACAGAAACCTTATGGGCAGAGAGCACCAAACAGCCAAGCACCCCCATTGCCCCCATCTGGATTTCAAAAATTAAAATAAACATATCTTTAGTCTGAAACATGCTTTCTATCATAAAGAATATAAATTTTTCAAGTCCTTGTGCTCAATATCTACTTAAGCCATAAAAACACCTGGACGCACAGCAGTACCATCAATGTGAGGCTCTGGAGCTAAACGCCAGCATATCCCAGCTTAAAGCTTGTACAGGAACGGGCAGCCATTTCTTAACCTGGCGAGCAGCCTATGCCATTCGAAAGAAACCCTGAGAAGCATTAACCTGACCACCTGTATCGCTCATCTTCTGTGAAACATCCGAACCCGGACCTGACACATGCTTGATGTGAGATTTCATTGGTAGAGAAAGAGAGGACGTCCACCCACCGAGACACTTTTTCCCGGGAAGCTGAAGAAGGAGTCTGGCCCACTCTGGCAGGGCATGCTCTTCAGGACGGACAGGAGCCGCAACGCATGCGGCGGCTGCACAGGAGGGCGATACAAGGCAGAGTCATCAACAAACACATGCGGCCAAGCCCATCTGGTTGCCATGTCAACTGCCTTCTCCACAAGTGCGACTGACCGCATCCCAGCAGACATACCCACAAGCCGTCCTCCCCCTGCAGTTTGCTGAACAGTAGCTTCAGCTCCTTGTCAGTGATGCTGTATCGGGTCAGAACTGCCAGCACATCAATCAGTGGCTCTGCAAATCAAACAGCAAAGGAAGACACCTTGCATGAACAGTCAGCCAGGCCTGGGGACGCATCACAGAGTAACAAACCAGGCCGGGAGACTCCTCACAGAGTAACAAACCAGGTCGGGAGACTCCTCACAGAGTAACAAACCAGGCCGGGAGAATCCTCACAGAGTAACAAACAAGGCCAGGAGAATCCTCACAGAGTAACAAACAAGGCCGGGAGACTCCTCACAGAGTAACAAACCAGGTCGGGAGATTCCTCACAGAGTAACCAGAGTAACCACAGAGTAACAGCCAGAGTAACCACAGAGTAACAGCCAGTTAAATATCTTGGAGTGTGAAGTGGTTGAAACATCTAATAATAAAGACCACTGGCAACTTACAGCAGCAGTGGAGTGTGCAGGATCTCACAGAAGGGTAACTACCAAGAGAGGAAGGACAAGCAACACCACCAACCCAATATCAAACCAACTAAGTAACCAGCTAAAAGATGAAGCCCCTCAAGCCAACTTCCATGGCTGGACTCTTCTCACAGAAGATGGGCTCAGCCTTGCTAAGAAGTTACCTCACTATCTGAAGCCGACCCATTACAGTAATGCTCAAGCTGGGTTTCAGGATCTCATGAGGACCACCCTGGCCTCAGGTCCACGTCCAGGTGTGGGTGAAGACCTACATACCGACGACAGTGGAGTCGGCCCGGGCGAAGCGAGCCAGCAGCAGCTCCGTCAGGCCCGCGGCGGCACACACATGCAAGTTGAAGGTGCTCCTCTTCAGCATGGCCGTCACAGTGCTCCACACCTCCGCCTGGCAGGCAGGCTCACACCCGCCCAGCAGTTCCACCATGCAGGACACGCCATCCGGCTCCTGGATGGTGAAGTTCATCTCCAGGTCAAACTGGCCGCCGACCAGCTAGGAAAACAATGGATTGAGTGTGAACATCACGGACCCCACACAGACCGTAAGAAGCGCACCGGCTGGCCCTCACGTCACATCCCATATGGAGAGAGCCTTCCACTGATGGGGACACATTCACACATTCATTCTTTTTTTTTTATTTTTATATTCCCTCCTCCACCCCCCCTCTGCGGAGGACTACTTTATCTGTATCTATTTATTTATTTATTTATTTTATTATTATTATTATTATTATTATTATTATTATTTTTATTATTATTATTTTTATTATTATTATTTATTTATTTATTTCTTTTTTTATTTCATATTTTTATTTACTTCCTCAAAAGAAGGAGAGGGAGGGGGGGGACAAAGGAGAAGGAGGGAAGAGAGAGAGAGGGAGAGAG